GAGGAGTCAGTTGCATTCGCCACAATATGCATCACAATTTCAACATACAATAGATATCAGTATATTTTGATACATGCAATGTGCACCCATTACTACGAGACTTTAAGACGCTTGGTGGTGGTAACCTTGGTACCTTGACTACATAATTTGACATGTTAACAGTCTAATATGCAGTGTGCCCTCCCTTATTTCTGATTGCTTAGACTGGCGGTTTTTTTTGCTCATGCTGCCTTGCAGACAAAATCATGTCATACAAGACCTGCCTTTGCAAAAAATTTCATTCAAATGGGTATATAGCACTACACTGATGTTATGCACCACTGTAAAATCATGTTCAGTAATCGTTCAGTGTAATGCAGGCCAAGTGACAGAAATACCAACAAAATTTAAGTTGGTCTTAAACTTTTGCAAATGGCTGTACAGTATTAACTGAGCTGAAACTTCATCAGATTTGTTTGTAGGCACCCTTCATTAGATTTTGAGTAATTTATGCCTCAAAGGAACATAATGCACAAGCGACAAACGATGGACTGTCCCTGTAAGTCTGACAGTGCACTCACAGGCTTCAATAATTACTGAAAATACATTCCCTGTCATTAATACTAAATCAGAATACGGCAGCCAGTAGCACCGTCATAAATATATCTTGATGAACTGAGTAACGGGTGGTCTGTACCTGAAACTTCAACTTCTCGGATAATAGGCATGGGGGCCACTATGTTTAGCTTCCTCTTATGATGACGGTGCTTGTCTCCTCTGCTCTTTTGTCGATGGCAGATGACAAAGCTGGCAATGAAAACCCAAGATATCACCAAGGACCACTGCAAGTAAACACAAAAGTGTTTATAAATGAGGACAGCAGTGTTGTACATGTAGGACTCAAGTCCGAGTCCTGACTTGAGACCATTTTTTGATGGACTTGGACCAAATTTAGTGGACTCAAATTCAGACTCAGGCCTACAGACTCGAGGACTCAGTCCGCATTTGACACAAGCCCACCCAAAATAACTGTTTGTATTACCCTCAGCACCCTTTCATTGTAAGAAAACAAATGAGAAAACTTACCACACTTCACACTTTTTCCAAATAATGGGGAACCCTTTCTCATAAAACATTCTCATATGAAGAGGCAAATCTTATGATATTAACATTTTAGCCACACATTATAATTTCATGTGGTTAGATAATTCCAATATCAATATAATTCCCAACCCCCTTTGATAATCTCTATGGCAATTATGTCAAAACCTTTAAGGGATTTTTGGGCTGCAAATAGTAAAATAATATTTCTAAGAATGCCGATATCATGCCCCATTTCATGTGTGAAATTTGTCGGTTGCATCATGAACTGTTGTGTTGTGGAGGAACTGTTGTATATCATGTGTGCAAAGTCTATCGACGGTACGTAATTTAATGTTGCACCAAAACTGTAACTTCGTGGTGCAATCAACAAATATTTGTTCAGGTCTTGCCCCATTAATTGCATTTCTAAAGTTAAAGATCTTACTTGTGAACACACAAAGTATTCATAACATGTTAGCAGTACTAACTCATGGAACTGATATTGCTTCATGAGTCTGACATTCAAAATATAACACGTGATAGTGTTAAGCTGGTTGTACTTTTTTCTTTTTACTTGCAATTGCTGATCAAAAAATGAACAATTTTCTGCATTTTACTTGTGCAATGCATTATTTGTGCCTTATTTAGTGTATGGTTTATTAGAGAACTTGGACTTTTTCAAGATTTTTTTTTTTTTGA